TCCAAGGTCTGCGGCCAAAATATTTGCGTGTCCAAGGCTTTAATAAACCCTTCAGAATATTTTCGCCATAATATTCGGCATTTATTCTGATGCCATCACGTTCGATTAATACGAGCGGAGAGCGACCATCGGCTGTTATGGCGGCCCATACCAACACCTAGGCTGGCGCTTGAGTTCTGGTGGACAACCGAAGATGCACATTTTCAGCTGACCTCTTTGGCAAAGTAAACACGATCATTTTGTTTGTCTACAAACTGCCGGACAACGAATGTTTTCTCATCGGACGAAAACCAAATTCGGTAGTTCAACACTTTCGGCCGAGCGACGCAACTCTTTAGCTCTTCCGAATCTATTTTCTTCATGTTGCTGTGTAAGTTCTTGCACTTTTTGGAATTTCAGTGGCTTTACCCCGAGCTCATTTTTCAGTATTTGCCGAATTGAATATTGCGATATGTTCAGCTCACGAGCCAATTTTCGGCCAATGCAAGGTGGGTTTCGTTCGAAGTCGTTTCTTTACTTTTCGAACCATTTCTGCTGATGTTGCTGTTTTCTTCCGTCCACTTCCTTGACGTCGGGCTACGCTACCAGTATCACGATAATGAGCGATGGCACGAGACACAAAAGATTTATTCGTATTTAAATGCTGGAGTGCTCTAACGATAGCCACTTGTGGTTTTCTAGCCAAATATGAAGAAATCACACTATCACGCTTGAATACCATCAGGAATAACTTTTTTTCTGGAAAATTCTCACCAAAATGCTTTTGTACGCTTGTAAACAATAGAATGAGCTGTCACTGGAATAATTTTAACAGCTGTCGGACTAGTGACTTAGAAACAACAGCAGTCTGAATTTGATCCCAGTATTTTCATCTCACCGTGTATATCATCTGTATTACCAGTATCTTAAAAATAATGACGACTACATACCCTCTGTATTACCAGTAAGCTGAAATGTGGCGATTTCCTTCCTCTAAATTTAGAATTGAAAATAGCTCAAGTTTATCACATTAAGTAATGATTATCAGCGGTGGTTCGAATCTCCATGAGAGCAAACCAAGGAAAATAAGTTAAATAGGATCAGTCGGGTTTGCCGACAGATATTAACCGCCAGCCTGGAGTTATGATTATTCTAACAGTTGGACCTTTATGGGGGGAGGTTTCGAAGCAGTTTGCCAATATTGTCCAATTCGTATCTGACCTAAGTCTGATATAAATATTACAACGTGCCACATATCGTTTACTTCCCATACTTTATATGAGCAAATGTGCAAAAGTTTGGAAAATCTGAAAATATACGTCAGGTGCCAGATATGGCGGACCGAAATATTCCACTTCATCTAATACAGATAAAAAAATATTGGTATCTGTAAAATTTTTAGGTAATCGAACATTTATATCCAATTTTATAGGAACTCATAAATTCCGATTCCTGGTTAAGACAAATATTCAGGTATAGCAAGCTGTATAGAATCGCCGACTTGTTTCACAATTTATGACATATATAAGTATTGGAAATTGTGACCCTTTGTGGATGAGGTACCAGAAGGGGTTGGCAGATATCTACCAGTTTCAGAAGAGATTTTGCGTTGGCAAAAATGTTTGTATGTGTGAAATTTGAAGAGAGTTGGACGCTTATTCCGCTATCTTTGGGCGTTTTGTTTTTCAAAATGTTGAATGCGCCGGTATATCCCATTTTCACAGCAAATCTTGTGTTAGTACAAATAATAGGATGTGTGAAATATGAAGAGAACCGGATGCTTATTTCGAATTTTATGATCGTTTTGTTTATTCATAATTCTGAACCTTTGTTGGGGGAAATACCAGAAGAAATAGTCCGATCTCTACCATTTTTATAACATATGGAAAAGTTGAGATGTGCCAAGTCTGTATGGAATCGAATATTATATCGCGTTAAATGAGCTTCAAGGATATTCAAATTTGTTTACCCTTTGTGGGGGAGAGGTACCAGAAGGAGCGGACCTGTATATTCCATCTTCCCAGCAGATTTTGTGTTACTAGAGATAATTGTATTCGTGAAATTTGAAGAGTATCGGATGCTTATTTCGGATTTTATGATCGTTTTGATTATTCCAAATGTTGACCCTTTGTGGGGGAGGTACCAGAAGAAATGGTCCGATCTCCTCCATTTTTTTTACAGATCTTGTGTTGATGGAAATATTGAGATGTACAAAGTTTTAATGGAATTGAATGTTATTTTCGTGTTTTATTAGCTTCATGAACATTCAAAATTTTGACCCTTTGTGGGTGAGGAACCAGAAGAAATGGTCCGATCTCTACCGTCTTTATAACATATCTTGTGTTGATGGAAATATTGAGATGTACCAAGTCTGAATGGAATCCGATGTTAATTTCGCGTTTTATGAGTTTCATGAATATTCAAAATTTTGACCCTTTGTGGGGAAGGTACCAAAAATAGCTGACCTCCATATTCCATCTTCACACCACATCTTGGGTTAATAAAAATATTGTGGTCTGTGTAATTTGGAGACAATCGGACTCTTATATAACATTTTATAAGAGCTACAATTATTCATAATGTTGAACCTTTATGGGAGAGGTACTTGTTGTTGGAGTAGACCGATATTGTCCATTCTCGCACCTGAATATTAGGATTTGCAAAGTTCGTAGGATTAACCTTTCTCTTTCTGTGCAGTATTTTTTTTTTTTTTTTAGAAAAAAATTCTGTAGAAGGTAATAGAAGAATTGGAGGATTTGGTCCAAACATGGTACAATATAATATTAATAAAAATTAGATTGAGTTCCGATCAGTTCACCGGTTCATTTAACTCATAAAAAGAGAAATAATCGTCGAATTTTATTCTAACTGTATGACTTCCGAACGACTCTTTTTGATGGCTCCTCCACAAAGGTTCAAAAAATATCGCAATGAAATCATAAACAATGGAAACAAGTTAAAGAACAGTAAGATCGGCCGGGTTGGAGTTTGAATACCTTCCAGCATTTAGAACTAATTTGGAAAAAATAGAAACCAATAAAAATTCTGTTAAAATCCTAAAAATACCGAATACAGGGACGTCTCCGTTATTTTGGAGCCCATACGAAGATGTGGATCTGCATAGGCCATTTTCTTTCATAGGCTGTAGTACCTGTTACGAAGTACATATACGAAATTTTAAACAATTCCGGTGAATAATGTCGCTGAAATCATCCAAATACCGAATATAGGGCGGTACCGATATAATGTGGCTATACCAAGTGCTGGACCTGCATAGGCAATTTTCTGTCACAGGCGGTAGTATCTGTTACGAACTGCATAAACGAAATTTGAAACAGTTTCGGAGAAATACCGAATAACGGCAAAATACCGAAAAGAGGGAGGAACCGTTATATGGGGGCTATACGAAAACCTGGACATTCAAGGACAATTTTTTGTCATAGGAACTTCAAATACGAAATTTGAAACAATTCCGGAGAATAATGTCGCAAAAATCATCAAAATATAGAATCTAGGGAGGTACCGTTATATGCGGGGTATTCGAAGACGTAGGTTTAAGTATCCATTACGAACTGTAAATACGAACTTTATAACAATTCCGGTTAATGTTATAACTAAAATTGTCAAAATACAGAATATAGAGAGAGAACGATATATGGGGGCTATACGAAGACCTGAACCTGAAAAGACAATTTTCTGTCATAGGTTGAAGAATCCATTACGAACTTTAAATGAAAAAAATTTAAAGCAATTACAGTGAATAATGTCGCTGAAATCATAAAAAAACCGAATACCGGGGTCATGCCTCTTTACGAACTTAACCTGCCTACTGGCAATATATACCTATGTGGAAAATTTTAGCTATCTATCTCAATTCGTTCGGAAGATAGCCTGATTACAACAGAGAGACAGACGGACATCGCTAAATCGACATTGTTGAGTCTGAGGTGAGTATTTCGAGAAGTTACAAACGGAATGACAAAGTTAGTATACCCTCCAGACTATGGTGGAGGGTATAAAAACCAGCGAGCATTAATTGGTTTTGTAGATGCTAATGCCATGAACCTGAAAATTGGTTAAACAGTTCTCATCCTTGCTTTTAGTTACTGACCAATCCCTTAGCCATATTCATGACATGATACAAATAAGCAGAATTTATAAATCTCCGCTTGAAACAGCAACGTAGCCCCGCTAACATATTCTCTTCAATATAAAATATAAACATACGTTCTGAGTTTATTCTGGCACTCATTTTGAAAGTTCCAAACAACATTTTTGGCGGAAAATTTTGTATTTTTTTCCTCTTCGCTGGAAAATTTTAAATATTTCCGATGTTATCATTTGTTAAGCAAGCCAGCTTTGAAAATATCTTGAAAATAACTTGATATCCATGGTAATTATTTATGTTTGCTCTACAGACGTAATAGTCACGTTGTCCGCTGTATTCGGGGTTGTTTAATATGCAGATGAGCTTCAGCTGAGTTTTTTCAAAATTATTTGTTGATAAAATTTCACCACACCCCCCGGCTACCATGTGTGAGGGGGACTAGGAAAACTTATCAATCTCCTTGTTGTTTTTGTTGTAATTTCACATCATCATTATTTTGCAATTGAAAGTAATTTCAATTCACTTTCGCTGCTGGAGCGTGCGACCCACTTTGGAAAAAATGTCAATGTTGACAATGAACCAATTTTCGGTTCAAGTGTTTGCGTTTTTTTTCTTCTTCTTCTTCTTCTTCTTCTTCTTCTTCTACATCTACATCATCTTCGTTCTTTTCATTTTCATCAGGCTATTATATTTTTGTTTATTTCGATAAGCTATTAGAGGCTTGGATCGGTGTTACGACAAGCTTACAATGATTCTGTGGCGCTTCCAAAGGGAAATATTTAACACTTGTTGTTGTGGAGAGAAGAGAGAGCGAGAGAGATCGGTGGGGATCGAGAGAGTAAGAGTGAGGAGTATGTCTCTCAATTATTTTTATTAATGAAATTTTCAAAATTACAAAAAATTATTTACTCACAACGCGCTTTTCTTGAATTCGTCGTTGTTGTTGTAGCTGTTGATGTTGTTTCCATAGCTTTCGTATATTTTGATGCTGAAGACGGCGGATAAGTTTTCTCAATTGTTTGATTTTCCCTGATATTTTCACTATTTCCTTTTGGCAATGTTACATTTCGACACAACACTTCTGAGTTATTCAATAAAACAATGATCAGCACTAGGGCGCCACTCATCGACCTCAGAACAGCCATGGTTTTTCTTTTTCGATTTTTTTTTTAAATTAAATTTTTTTGGGACTTTATTTTTCTTCGTAACCGAAAGAAATTTTGAAAATTTTCTTTTCACGTCAACGAAAAGACGTTCGATCGACTCAACTGTTCGCTCTCAAGACTCGATTATCACTGAAAATTTCGGTAAATAAAGTTGGTCTTATTCTGATCTTTCGACACAAATACCGTGAAGGTGTTAATTGGTAAACGACATGCACCATTCAACTTTCTTTCGTTGGGACAGTGGTTGCGAAAAGCGGAGATATGTGAAGCTAAAAAAGCCAGAAGATCACGAAAAATGATTGTAGATGAAATTGGAGATACTCAGATAAAGGAAAAAGGAAAGAAGGTTTGAAAGACTCCTCATAGAGTAGCCAAAGGGATTTCTATTCGGCCTTAGAGAAGTGGAAGTCCTTATTATAGGGAACCTCAATGTGTTCTACTGTGGGACATTCTCATAGGAAACCTGAAAGTCTTTGAAAAGTAGACCAAAATATCTTCATTTGAAGGACTTTCTTGTAAGGCACCTAAGAGACTTAATATGAAGGATCAGATTATATATTTATCTAGGTCGTGGAGGTCATTGACCTGAAGGTCTACTTATGGAGAATCAGATGGTCTTTCTAGAGAACAATTAATAGTTTTGAAATAGATGATCGAAAGGTCTTCCCATAGAATGCAAAAATATACCCCTATTGCAGTGGACCTAGAAGCTTTCGTATGGGGTAAAAGAAGATTTTCCACAGAAGACTTATATTTCTCTTATAGAAGACTCAAAAGTTTTCTCATAGGTAAAATTTTAAAGAAGACCCAAAATAGAAAATTCCTGAGGGTATTCTTTGTAGGATCTTCTTACAGAAGCTCTGAAGATGTTCCTATAATGGTACCTTAACTCCATTATCGGAATATTTTCTTCTTCTTATGGAGGGGTTAAAATCTTCTTATAGACGACCAGAATTCGTGTATTCTTAAAGAGACTGGGTTTTTTTGAGGACCGCTTAGATAGCCTGGAGGTCTTCTTAGAGATGTCTTCTTAATGAGAATTTGACAGTTTTCTAATGGAGAAACTAAAGAACTTCTAATTGAGGCTCTGAATCTGAATCGCTTCTTAAAGAAGCCCTTAATGTTTCTTTATAGAGGGCCTAGAGGGGTTCTTACAGAGCACCAAAAATATATTTTTTCCTAGTGAAATGAAAATCTTTTTTCAAAAGACCTTAAATTTCTTTTCTCAAATAAGACCTTAAGATGATCTGAAGATCCACTCCCAAATGGCCATAAGGCCTCTCAAAAAGAAAGGAAGGAAACCGCAAAGGACCTTATAGATAGATTAGATATAAGCTCACCTGAAAGTGACCTTAAGGAAAACCTGAATATATTCATGGGGGACCCAATGGTCTCCTTCTTGACAAATTGAAGATTTTTTTATTGAGTGCCAGAAAGTTTCTATAAAAAACCAAAAAGTTGTCATACAAAGGACTTTAAGGTCTTCTTCTAGGGATCTTATGATATTTTTTAAAGACCTTATGTTTTCAGATTGTATTGTGTATTGTAATTTATTGTTCTTGTTGCAAATTTTGGAACTAAACAACCTTAGGGACCAGTTAGTTATTGAAAGTTGGAAAACCTTCTTATAAGTTCCTGGAGATCCTCTTCTCATAAAGGTTAATTTTGTAGAGGAACTTTTACGTCTTTCTTAGGAACCGTACGATTTTCTTATGGAGTAGATGAAGGCCCCGACAAATTCAGCAATAATTTTCGAAACAATTTCTTGGGACCCCAACCAAAAAAAAATATATATATTTTCAAGCAAAATTGGATAACCAATTTCTAAAAATTACCATTTCAGAGGATATCCTGACTCCCTGGCTCCCTATCCTTCAGTCTCATAAAGGTCGGTGATATTTTTTATGGAAAACTAAAATGGCTTTTTTTTAAAGAAACCTGGTGGTCTTTCATCCAATAGAAAACCAAAATGACCTTCTATAGTAGATCAGGTCTTCAAATAGAAGAAGAATTGATCCTACTCTGTGCAGAATGTCTTGAAAGTCATTTAAAAAATAATCTTAAAATATCCACGATTGTGGCTTCCTTCTTGAACAAATAATCTGGAAACAATATAAGATTATAACTTAGAAAAACCTGAAAGTCCTTGAAGAATAAGTCCTCCAAAAAATTAATCTTAAAAATTCACAATAATGGCTCTGATATACCTATATCATATAAATGTGAAAGCGTGAAGCTTTGAGAGTCCTTAAAAAATTATTCAAAAAAAATACGATTTAATCCTGAAAGTCCTTGACAAACAAAAAACAATCTTCCAAGCACATCTATGAGTCTAAAAGTTCTTGAAGAAACTCTTGAAAATTCTTTAACTATGGCTATAGAAAATCTAGAAAAAAAAAAATTCGACAACCGGGTCCTGATGGTCCTTGAAAAAAAGAGTCCACGAAATCGTCTTAAAGGATCCCTAAAAAAAGTGATCTCAAAAAATCCACGATGACCGATCTGACAGCCCTTGCAAAAAGATTTGCCAAAATTCTCGATTAAGAATCTGTAGGGCCTTAAAAAAATAATCTTAACAAAATCACAAAGTATGGATAGTTTTTTTTGTGGGCGAGGCACCAGATATATATTTGAAAATTTCGACTGAAATTGCCCATCTCCGAACTCAATCTAAGTTTGACAAAAATATAACGATGTACCAAGTTTGGACCAAATCGGATACACTCCTTGAGAGGTATCGTGCGCACCAGCCAGCCAGACAGATCGACTCCAAACATCCTGAGACGTATTTGGTCCAAAGAGTCCTAGGGTCTAAACCCGTTATTTCTACTAGCCATATGACTGAGGGTATAAAAAATTCCACGATTACGGCTATATTCCACGATTACGGCTATAAAAATCTTTGCAACAATCTGCTTAAAAATCCACTATTATAACCATGAAAAGCCTTTAGGTAAATCTCCTCAAAATCCACGATTATGGCTCAGAAAGTCCTCATTATGAAACCTCAATTATGGCTCTGTAAGTCCTTGAAAAAATATTCTTAAAAAATATAAAGGCGATGTTGATAAATTTATAAAAAATTCTTACAAATCAAAAATTATGGCCTAGATAGTCGTCATCATTTGTTAAAAATTCACTATTATGGCTCCGATCGCCCTTTATCACAGACGACCAATTAGCCCTCCTAATTGAAGTTATCTCATATTTCAATATTTTCTTCTCGGTCCATAGAAATTTCAAAAATGCAGTTTTTACAATTTTTGAAAAAAAAATCATTTTTTTCTTCTAAAACCACTGTGCAAAATCGGAATTGATTTTCACAAACCATGACATCCATTCATACAAAACTTGGTTGTCAAGAAAAAAAACATAGCTGTAGTATTTCACATAGTATTCGAAAGAGAAATACATCTTTGTCACAGCGTTGAAGGCAAAAAAATGCTAGACAACAACTTCGTTCTTTGGGGTTTTCTAAAAAATACCCGAGTTCCAAAAAATAAAAAAAATGTTTCTTAGTATCTGGACAGAGTAATTAGGAAATCCCAAGCTAATTTATTTCACATAAACTCTGGTAAGCTATACAATTTACTCGTTATCAACATTTATATTAAAATTTTTCTCATTTCCACCATTTGTGACTTAATCCATTTTGCTTTCCATGCTAACCAATGGCCAGCTATTTACTGATCTAACATCGTAAAGACATTATTTCGGTTCATCGCAAGACAATGCCAACGACTCCATATGAATTGGTTCGGCAAATAGTGGTAAAACGCTAAGAAAAAAAATATCTAAAAAAAGAAGAAGAGAAGTCTTAAATAGGCTATCGATGGCGTGATGGACCCGGTGGTACCCTACACACAAATGTGCATATATATGAGTATACACATATTTTTAGAAATGGAAACTGATGCTCAGTATGAAAAGGATATGTCGCTGGGTTTCCTCCCAACCTGTTGTAGTAACAGTTTAAGGTAGATATATTGGATTTATTTAAAATATTTTTTTCGATGGCTATGAGGGCCATAATCATGGGTCCTTTTTTTAATATTACCATCAAAGCAATAATCATGAATATTAAAGACAATTTCATTTTTTTGGCTATCAGAGTCCATAATCGTATTTTCCAGAAAACAGGGTGAGTTAAAAAAACTGCAACAAAGTCAAATGCCATAATTTTTAATTTTTTTTAAATTTTTTTGAATGACGGCAAAAAATGTCGGAAATAGCATCAAATTTTAGAATAAGTTTAGATTTGTTCGAATTGGTCACCTTTGGCACGAATTATGGCCTTCAAACGGCCAATGAAACCGTCACACGCTGCCCGAATGTTGTTCTGCAGTATTTTGGCCCATTTCCCGCGAAGTGCTTGCTTGAGGTGATCTACACTTTGGTATTTTTTAGTGCCAGCCTTGCTTTCCAAAATACTCCAGACACAATAGTCCAACGGATTGGCATCCGGATTTATCCGGAGATTTTCGTGGCCATTGTGCGCTGGCAATGAAGTGAGGAACCTCAATTTGTAAGCATTCTTGGGTGGCGCGTGCTGAGTGTGATGGTGCTGAGTCCTGTTGGAATGTACAAGGTTTGCGGCCAAAATGTTTGCGTGCCCAAGGCTTTAATAAACCCTCAGGATATATTCGCAATAATATTCGGCATTTATTCTGATGCCACGGTCGATTAATACGAGCGGAGAGCGACTATCGTCTGTTATGGCGGCCCACACCATCACCATGGCAGGCGCTTGAGTTCTGGTGGCCAACCGAAGGTGTACATTTTCAGCTGACCTCTTGTTTACAAACTGCTGGACAACGAATGTTTTCTCATCGGAGACGGAGAAAACTAAATTCGGCAGTTCACCACTTTCGGCCAAGCGAAGTAACTCTTTAGCTGTTTTGAGTCTATTTTCTTTCTGTTGCGGTGTAAGTTCTTGCACTTTTTTTACCCTTACCCTTCACCATAGTATGGGGGGGGGTATATTG